AGCCATCGTATGCCGGCCGTGAAAGCCTTCAACAATACATTGGTTGAACTTTCTTGGGAAGATTTGCCTTATGAGAACATTTTCTCAGTTAAAAAAAGCTGAAATAAATGAGTGTTTGGATAATGTACCATAGAAATCAAATTTACCTTTCATTTTTCCCCAAGTCCCTTTGAAAATGTATGTTGACACTTTGTGATTTTCTTCCATCAGTGTTAGAGGAATAAACCATTTGGTCAGATTACTTTAACGTTGTACTGTCTTTAAACAAATATCTTTGCCAGTTCAAGTGAGAAACTCACCTTAAATATCAAATCCTTTTTCCCATAGCGAAGCTCCTTCAGTTGGGCTTGAATCTTTTTTGACTGCAAGCAGAGGATAATACATTAATCTTTTAAGTAAGTTAATACTGTTTCATTTACAGAGTTTTAAATATAAAGTTCAGAGTTTTAAATATAAAGTTCAGGCAATAGGAAAATGTATCCTGAGATTTTGCAGTGTTGCTGGATTATTATCATTTTTGGGTGGGGAAATGATCTAATCTGATGAAATGAATCACAGTTGATGTAGTTCTACTGCTGTTTCTGCAGTAAACATATAAAGTTCAGGGCAGAAAATAATTCCAACATACCCAGGGATATAACAGATGACTAGAAACAAATACTTAGGTCATAAGTCAAACAAGTGAAAGGAAGCTCATATAAAGGGCTCTCCTGTTCTCTTCCCTGCCCTTCATCTCCTGGCGGTAGCTAGAAAGATTTTCTGCAGAGGCCTAGTAGCTGCGTATGTTGTAACCAGGATGAGATTTGGGAAGATGAACAGAAACTCATTCAGTCCAGTCCATAGGAAGAGCTCCCACACTTTTGAGTGTGGCTTACCACATTTTAAAACAAATGAAGTAATGCACATTCCTGTCTCCAGAGACGAGCCAGATATCATAAAATCATACTTTAAAGAAATGAAATGTGACAGTGTTGCTGAGTGAGGGAGAACTGCTCAGCACCAATCAATTGGCTTACAGAAAATGATTCTGTCCAATTTTAGAACAAACCCCCAAACTAAATTAAACTAAACCAATAAAACCCAAAACTATTCACTTACTAGTGGACAAAGCCTTGAAGGAATACTCCAAAAGAGGTGCTTAGAAAATATTTTACTGTCTTCACTTCTTTGTTACCTAAATTTAGAGCAAAAAAGGGAAGCAATGGAGTCCCAAATGCCAATGAAGGACGTCTCTTTATGAATCAAGCCTCATTAATGAAATAATTTCAATACAACAGAAGAACAAGTTTATAAAGTGTCCTTAAGAAAAGTATGTATCCAAAGTATATTAGGCCTGATTAATAAACATTGCTTTTCACTAGCACTTGGAACCCCATTAACTTTTTTTTTTTTTTTTGGTGCTTCCTGGTTTTCAGTGGCTGCCCTCTCTTCTTTGTTTATCCACATTTAGGAAACTTCCCAGTCCTCCATCACCTGTTCTTTCTTTCTGAATAATACAAAAAGTTATTCACAAATTGGATGGCCAATCTGAGGTCCAAGAGTTTGACTGAATAATGAATGAAATACAACAAAATAAAATAAACAAACAAAAAAGTGTTAACTGTTTGAAGCCTTCTCAACACACTATGCTCCAATCAGATGATTAATAAATATAGCAAGCCAGTTTGGTGTAGTGGTTAGGGGCACTGGGAGACCAAGAAGCTGGGTGACCTTGGGCCAGTCAAACTCTGTCAGCCCTAGGAAGGAGGCAAGGGCAAACCACTAATAAAAAATCTATATGGATGTATTCATGTAGGTGCCAGGAAACAAAACTGACTTGAAGGCACAGAAAAAGGAGGAAGGGAAAAAAGAAGATAGAGTCCCTCTTGTAAATTATAGTTCCAAATGGATTAGAAAAAGACACAGATGAAACTTCTGTCAAGGATTTGTTGCTTATATGTTTTCTGTCACTGCACATCAACCAATTAGTACGTAATGTAGGATAGATGTCAATAATTCACAGGAATCATCAAATACATCTTTTAAATTCTTAATTCATACAAGCAGCCACATGTTCATGTGGCCATATGAAGGCTATCAGCACAGCAAGGTACTTAATCAAAACTAGTTGCTGTCAAAAGGTTTTAGCAGTGCGCACCTTGTCGTTCCACACTTACTTATACAGTAAAAAGAGTTTGTGTAGTATTCTGGGCAAAACTAGAGCTACCAGGGCTAAAGACACAGCCAGTGAAATGGTGCTGAGGTTTGCTGATAGGAAAGTATTTGTCCTGGAATCACAAAACTCTCTGTACCTTTTATACCTCTTCATGTGCATATTCTGCTGAACAATTTAGAATCAGCCTTTCTCAGCTAGTTTCCAGGTATGATGGGACAGCATGGAGATGCTTAGAGTTGTAGTCTCAACATACCTGGAAGATACCTGATAGACACAAGGCTGATTTAGAATGAGCTATATCTATTTTATTTGAATCTATATACCTTTACTACAGGTATATAGATTCTTATATAAGAATCTTAAACTTTTTTTAAATCTTAAAATAAGAATAAGATTTTTAAAACTGAAGGGCGGATTATGGAAGGAACTACTTGATAAGAACTGATTAAATCAGACCACTGAGATATTTATCCCTTATTAATATTAGATCCAGATTCTTCACTGAAGCTGGGTATGCCTAAAGATCTTAAGTATGGAAAGCATATAATTTACAATAGAGCTCTTGGTCCTCAATAAATCATTTGTTATAGGTATAGAGTAGGAGCTTCCTCCCACCCCTGAACCTGTGAATGATATTTAGAACATTGAGTTGTTCTAAAGTTTCAAAGATAAAATGTTCATTGACAGTTGCATTCACAGATAATTTCTGGATGAATTTAAGGGGAAAAAAATACTGAAACTAAGATAAGTTGATAAAGAGGGCAGCTTAGATCATTTACATACAAATATCTGTAATTTTATGCTGACCAGTCTTGGCTTCATCATCATTATTTGAAATGGAGGGGGGGGGTGTATGAATTAGAAACAATAAGAGAAATATCTCACTAGCCTGCTACAGCTATTTTTCAGATTAACTCATAGCATAATTCATTCTACTCTATGAAGCTGCCGAATTAACTGTTCTTGCCTAATTAGATTTTTTTTTATTATTCAATTCAATGATATTTAACAGAGACCATGTTAACATTGGTCTCTGTTTAACAATGAAGGGAACATTGTTTTACTCTAGGCTGTAGGATGTAGACTTTCTAATTTACAAATATTTCTTCCTCAAAACTAGTGCCCTCTACTAGGATGTGTTGGAATTAAATTCTTCAGAATTTTCATCCAGGATTGTAATTGTAGGAGATGTACCCTAACGCAACTAGCTAATACCATGTTGAAGGAAGTTGGTCTATTCTATCTAACAGAGGCAGGTAGCATTCAAGGTATAAACAGATATCCACCTTATGCTTACTATATATATCAAGAGAGGCACCTTCTCCCAAACAAACTACATGCTCCATCATCAAAATCTGTTTCTTCTTCAGTATCCTATATATAAAATCACTTCTGGCTAGATGACATTTCTTGTCATCTCTGTTGATAAGTCAATATTCAAAGTATTTTAACTCATTATTAAAATTCAGCATAATATAACCACTCTGAAGTTACCCAAGCTATTTGAAATATATAGCTCATAAAGTGTTTTTTTATCATTAGATTCCATATGCATCTGTTGCACCAAGCTCCTGCTATGCAAGAGGAATCTATTGCAGATCCTGTTATCTCAAGAAAACTCACAGCCAGGCAGGTTTATTTTTAAACACATCTTCTATTATAAAATATATTTTCCCTCAGAAAGATGATCAGTGAGCAATTCCAGAAAATTGTCACTTCAGGGCTCCACAATAAAACTAAGATTTACCTACAGTGAATACTCAAAGGCACAGGTTTAATACCTCACATTGCAAAGGCAAATTCCCTGTTTCCCATTTAAATTAAGCTATTGTGTTAGCTTATTCAGAAATATATATATATATATACACACACACACACACATAGAGAGAAACACCAAAACATACAAGATAAATGTAATCTATAAAAAAGGTGTTGTACCTAACAGAAAAAGGATGTACAGAAGAAAACCACTGGTGGTCCAAGAGTGGCACTATTAAGACTACGAATCCCAGAATTCCTGATTTTGTTGACCATATAAAGAGAATTGAGAAAGGCTGGGTTAATGCCTTCACACAACAAAACAGAGGAGAGAAAGAAGAAGGGGGCAGTATTTTATAAATATTTTCATAATTTGGATTAGAAAAGACAACAATAATGTGCTAGTGGTTATAATATGCTGATCTGAATTGCTTTGTTCTTCTATCACCAGAACTGGCCAGCAACTGTTCTCAGAGGACAATTGACAATGTGACCATTTATTAATCTTTCACTCACTGTCAAAGTGACCCCGGGGTCCTTTTTCTTGTTTCATTCCTGAGGTACACTTTCCCACTTTGTGATCCTCAAGGCTTCTGTCTGTTTGGATGACAGACTTCAGTTTGTTGAAGTTCATTGGCTGCTTCAGGTGAGGAAGGACTGCCTCTTCGACTGAGTTAATGCTTACCTTGTTCCCTATTGCCTTTTAGAGCTGCCTTTTGCTCTGAATCCTATTACTATACAATAGTTTAACATGGCCTTGTAAATAGAAAGTTGCTGATTTGGAACACAGCAAACACCACCACCAACTTCCTCTACTTGTCCTCTTCTTTTGGTTGTCTTGAGCATCCTTCTTTTCTCTTTAAAAAAAAAAAAGCCTGGTGCCATACCTTTTCTTCATTTTTCCAGTCACTTGAGATAAAATAATTTCACTACCACCTCCCAAATAGGCTTTAGATGATTTGAGCTATTTGGGAGTTAAGGGTGATACCCTTATACCTTTGTGATTGAAAAAGTGATGACTACAGGACCTACTAAAAAAGGAAGCCCCCTCGCCCCCAAAAGAGCTGTGTGTTGTACCTTATCTATGTACATTTCTTTAACTTTGCATATTACAATTCATTTAACTTTGTGTATGTGTGCAGGAAGGCACTCATGGCAAGGAAACTGATTGGTAGTGCCTTTCCTGGAGCAGAAAGGTGGGTGGGCATAGCAGCAGGGGAATTATTCAATGGGACAACATGGTAGCCTGCAGTCTGGACTAAACACCTTGGCAGTCCTTGGTAAAGGGTCTCAATCCAGGCATGATGTTCTTAAGCCATTTCAGAGTCAGGCCAGCATGAGCACAGGACAGACTAGCTTAAATGTTAAATGCAAATAAGCTCAATGATATGAACAGCAAAGGTGAATGCTTCTTACTAGCTCCATTTTGAGTAGGATAGGCAAATTCCA